AACTTTATAAATGACTTCTCATAGACAAGAAGGCGAAATATTCTTTTAATTTTAGGCGATTGGAGGAAGTTTTCAGTAAATTAGTCTCTTAAAAGTTATGATTCGTCAGCAAGGAATATTTATAATCTTGAGGAAACCGACGATCTTTTTTGAAATTCTCATCAAGTCAACCAGTTTCACAATATGAAACTTTTCCACTGACCTATATTTTAACTGATGTAAATTAATACTACAGGACAAATACACCAATAATCATTGCTACTTTGTAATTAATCAAATGTAAAATATCTCTGTCAAATAGGACGTTAGTTGCACACTGAATAGATCAATTATCTTGTTCCTTGCTATGAAGTCAGACGACACTGCTTTAATTGCCGTAGTAAACATAGGGTATCTTAAGATTAAAGATACATCTTACTTATGAATATTAACTGCCAAGAGGTATTCCCTGCTGACTGTTTTCAGTGACCTAACGTTTAACCACAGTGTAGTGAATAACGACTTAGGTAAGCTTGATCAGTTCATCATATTAATCAAAATCATTTGTAAAATATTAAAACAATACATTGAATACAAGAATTTCATGTCTTCCCTGAATTGTCTATTACAAACTTCATCGTTCTTGCTTTCCTTTTGCTACTTTGACTATTTTAGTTTTCTTTTCTGTTCTACTGATGTTCCTGTTTTGTCAATAAGAATCCTATTTCTAATTCTTGATACTTAATACTTATATCTATCCGTATAAGTAGCATACCTTAAACCACAAATAACTTATACTAGAGCTTACATAGTAACATGACTAATAAAGGCTGATCAACTGTTCGGTCACTTATTAAGTTATAAGCCATCAAATTTTAAATCTTAAGAAATCTTCATTGATTCAATACAATTTCTTTAACCATGAAGTAGATCACTGATTAAAGTTTTAAATGTCAACCACTGGACTCTAATTCATTGATCCACACGTTAAATGTTCATCATGAAAGTTAAACGTTCAGGGTTCAATTCCTTATAGCTTACTGTTTGTATAATGCTGCAATTTCCATACTAAAATGAATAAGCTGTGTTGTTTGCTCTCTTATTTCATTGATTGTTACTATTGTTTATATAATTTGTCTTCTTAAACCACCGTTAAAGTTTAGTTAGCTAAACATTATGCTTGTAAAGGAATTTATTTCAGGGTTTGTTTAGTTACTTTATCGTACATAAAATGTGTTTAATTAAACAGTTGAATAACCAAAAATGCCTACATACATATTTTTTATTTATGGAAAAATTTTATTACTTTACTAAAGACAGAATAAATTAGTGTCCGAAAATAGGTACAGTGTTAATTAAATGAAATATTTACTAGTTCAATAGTATTTGTTGTTTGTATTGATGAGCATTGGAAATGTACAAAACTATTAGGTTAGTCGAATGTTTAGGGGTTTATGTAATCTATTTAATACAAGAGTTATAAGTCAATTTATACATTAATTCATGTAATATCACAGATTGAAATCATGAGTCAACTGGAGGTAGACTCAGTGGTCTAGTTGGTTAAGCGCTTGGTGCGGGATTGATAGGTCCTGGGTTCGCATCTCGTGAGGTGCGAAATCGTGGATGCGCATTGCTGAGGAGTCCCATACTAGAACGAAACGGCCGTCCAGTGCTTCCAGGTTTTCCATGGTGGTTTAGCTCCAGTTGAATCATGATTTCAACCTGTGAAATTTCAAAAAATCTCCACAAACCCCTTCTGATAGTTCATGTAATATAGTGAAAATTGATTAACTAATATAATGTACAGTTAAATACTCATTCTCTGAGCAAATATTTTAGAAATAGCACCATCTTTACAATAATGATCCATCTATAACTGAAAGTGATCCGGTGAGACTATAATTTGTCGACGACATTTGAGCAACGCTAGACTAAACTTGAGTGTTCACTTAATAACCAGGACTAAATGAGGGTTATCAACCTATAATTACAAATTACAGTTGATGGTTAAGCTTAGAACATAGATTTTGGGTTGTTACAAAACTTCATAATGAGTTACAATTAAATGAAGATAATAGTATTTATGAATACACGGTAGGAATACGGATTTGATTGAAAATAAATTTAAACACGATATTTATATCTGGTTTTCCAAAGATAATTCTTTTCCCCAAATTACTAGTTATGATGAGACTATAATTTATAAACCATCTTATAGTGGTGTTAAATTGACCTTGAGAGTGCCCACCTAATAACCAGAACCAAATGAGTTATATCAAACTATGTGAAGAATTAGAATTATGATTTGCATTCGATGGTTAAGGTTAGAGATTAGATTTAGGGTTTTCATCTCGAACTCACATCACCTATAAGACCAAAACTCTATTTAGCCAAATGGATGAGTGAATTTCAATCCAAAATGTGAGATCTGTAATCTTATACGTGATTGGGTAATCCATAAATTATAGTCTCGCCAGTGATCCGTCTCATGACATCAATTTCAAAAATGAATTATTTTAAAATATCTGTCGAATTGTATTCCTCACATCCATTATAAAAATGACTATAAATAGAGGTTAAGAGTTCGTGCGCGAGATCGAAGGTCCCGGGTTCGAATTTTGCGGATGTGCACTGCTGAGGAGTCCCGTCTCAGAACAAAATGGCCATCCAGTGCTTCTAGGTTTCTGAAGATGAATTCCATCATCAATTTACAAATACATTGTCATTCTATACGGTAAACTAATTCTGAACTTTATCATTCATGACGATTTTTCAAGATGAAAACAAAATTTACATCCTTGTACAAAACTAATACGATTTCGAAAATCGTCCAGTAAGATGTTCAACAATTGTTAATCATCTTAAAAACAGTACAGTATATGCAAATTAAATTAATATATTAAAATAAAATTAATTATAGCTTTACACATGACATCATAGTTGATGATGTCTCTTTTTGATGAAGTTTCGTTCTCTGAGCTGGAGAAATTAGAAATTCACTTCAATCTGAAGTTTGTGCGGATGATGTCTTTCAGAAGAACGGTGAAAGCTCCACGACCAAACATCCCAGCTCAGAGAACGAAACTCCACCGAAATCATCCACCTGAGATAGAAATCTTTCTCAACCATCTGATGATGTTTGTTGATATATGGTCTTTGAACATAAAAAAAACTCGGTTATACAGATGAATTATTAAGTAAAGGTATATAGAACTTCATTTTTGTTACGTGAGATAGTAAATGATCAATCCCATTCTTTATAAGTGTATTTTGAGCGGATTAAATCATTTCAGTTTATAGAAAGGGAGAAATAGATTTGTATAAATCTATAAAGAACATAATTTATTCATGAGTTTCTTATTATTCAAGACAATATTATTTGAACAAATAAAAGTATGTAAATAATATAAAGGATTACAAATGCTTGAGGTAATTTATGTCAGTTGTTCGTTGAATTAGTTTAATTGAATTAAACTCACTAATAAAATTAGATTGTGGTTAGTATTAAAATCCGCGACTTGATTCCCCCCCCCCACCGAACCCTAATTCCTACTCGTTTATTCAAAATACCTGTAATTCAATGCTCATGTTTACAGCGGAACTAGAACCTGATACCATTTGTTTTTTAACGTTAACGCTTTATACGCTATGTTCCTGAGTTCAGATATTTGGAGGTCACTTAAATGATTTAATACAGATCTTTTTTGTGAGTAACATGTTGGGATGACCTCGACCTGCTGAAGTAGTGAAGTATTATATTTTTAGACTGATAATAGTAAATCCTTTCATTTTTCTATCTTATGTATTTAGTACTTAACAAAATCTTAATGTTCAAAAAAGGAAATATCTTCAGGCCCTTTTTAGAAACTCTGAATTACAGCTAAATATCTTGTGATATACCCAATAAAGCTTATAAGTACAGTGTATCAAACCTGAAACCTATTTATTTGAATCCTAATCGTATTGGACTGCTCTTATCAACTAATTTAGTCACATCCTACATGCTTAATAATCAACTAGCTCATCTTTCATCTAATGGGCTTTCTTTTGAAAATTTACTCCAATACCCTTCTTCTTTACTGTCGAACAATAACAGTTAACCTATGGTTGAAGATCACGTATAGTTATGTTACAAATTGAGACTCAGAACTTCTATCCTGGAACACAATATTAACTACTTTACTTAGAACAATACAAAATCTTATAATCGATGTGTTTCTCAAACTACTCACGTCATAACAATGAAAATTCCATTGTAATACTTTTTACTGAGTTTACCGTTATGTTGTAAGTGTAACTCCTAATATTTTCAGTTCTCACTGATTATTTGTGAATATTTTAATGGTATTTTTGTGGACCGCGATCTGAATCCAGTTATATCATATATTTGATTGTCACTGAAATCTAAATATCGTCAATCTTTGTACATCGACTGAAATGGCGTTGGTAAATAATGGAATCAAATAAGTCAAATACGAGAATGGATGTTTGAATATGTATATTTTATACACTCATTGATCTGGACAGACAATCAGAGAATCGCGGGAAATGAAGCGAAGAAGAAAAAGCGAAGCGTAACTAAATGACGCGCAGTGAAGAGGGAGTGTGAGCCAACTTTATTTAGGCAAGAGTTAATCAAAATTTACAGTCACACAAAAGTAAGCTACAAACATATGATGAGTAGGATTAAGTGTACACACATATGTTCAGATAAAAACAATCAAGGTTAATTGTTGAGATCATAAGTTAATTGAAGCTAGACCACCATGGAAAATGTGCAAGCACTGGATAGACGTTTCGTCCTGTTTTAGGACTCCTCAAGAGTGTGCATCCACAATCCCTCCTCGGGAGATCCGAACCCAGGACCTATCAGTTTCGTGCACGAACACTTAACCTCTAGACCACTAAGCTGGCATGCAATGATGTTAATGTCTAACGTGTATTTTTTTTAAAATCAACCTTACGCCAAATGTCATAGATTGAACTTTCGAAAGAATTTTTACAAAAAGATCAAATCTTTATTTATGATGATGATGATGATGATGATGATGATGATGATGATGATGATGATGATGATGATGATGATGATGATGATGATGATGATGATGATGATGATGATGATGATGATGATGATGATGATGATGATGATGATGATGATGATGATGATGATGATGATGATGATGATGATGATGATGATGATGATGATGATGATGATGATGATGATGATGATGATGATGATGATGATGATGATGATGATGATGATGATGATGATGATGATGATGATGATGATGATGATGATGATGATGATGATGATGATGATGATGATGATGATGATGATGATGATGATGATGATGATGATGATGATGATGATGATGATGATGATGATGATGATGATGATGATGATGATGATGATGATGATGATGATGATGATGATGATGATGATGATGATGATGATGATGATGATGATGATGATGATGATGATGATGATGATGATGATGATGATGATGATGATGATGATGATGATGATGATGATGATGATGATGATGATGATGATGATGATGATGATGATGATGATGATGATGATGATGATGATGATGATGATGATGATGATGATGATGATGATGATGATGATGATGATGATGATGATGATGATGATGATGATGATGATGATGATGATGATGATGATGATGATGATGATGATGATGATGATGATGATGATGATGATGATGATGATGATGAGATGATGATGATGATGATGATGATGATGATGATGATGATGATGATGATGATGATGATGATGATGATGATGATGATGATGATGATGATGATGATGATGATGATGATGATGATGATGATGATGATGATGATGATGATGATGATGATGATGATGATGATGATGATGATGATGATGATGATGATGATGATGATGATGATGATGATGATGATGATGATGATGATGATGATGATGATGATGATGATGATGATGATGATGATGATGATGATGATGATGATGATGATGATGATGATGATGATGATGATGATGTTATATACATATTGGTCAATGAATATTCGATTTCTTTAAAATAGTAAATCATTAAAGTTTTTATAAATGTTACATAGATTTTTAAAGGTCAATAAAAGTAACACCATTTATTTTGAATATATTTTAATATTTTTTTTATATATTCGGTCCAATATTAAGGAGATAAAACAGCAGGGTTATAATCAAAATAAATTGGTGAATTCATATTTCAACCTGAATTGACTTTGAGCGGTAAATATAAACATTCGGGCTTCTAGTTTTTAATTCAGATTAAAGATTGTTTAAATGTACATTCATAAATATATTTGTATATTGACATTTTAACTTTAATTTATCGGTGTGTGTGTTTGCGTGTCAGTAATCGTACCTAAAATGTGTGAAAAAAATTATTAAAATTTATTATTGGTTCAGATGATGAATTGATTGATGTTACACCATCATTGTAAACTTGGAAGTAATTGATGATTGTTTCGTCCCATTTCAGGATTCCTCATCAGTATGAATTCACTATTTATACAGGACTTATTTTAACATTAGAACGTTAGATATTTTGAACATTTAAATAGCTTTTTGATTTAAAGTAAGATAACTGAGGGTATTTGAATGATGAATAAAAATCTATAAGCTGAATATTGGTTTTAACATATTAATCATTTATTAATTATTTCAAACATAGAAACTTGTCCAAGATATACTGTGGTGTCAATTACAATTTTAAGCCCATACAACTTATTCTAGCTTCTGGACTGGCCAATTTATCCATTCTTCTTGAGTCAACTTTGACCTTGTTAATAATATCCACAAAATTACTCCTGATACTAATCAACAAATTCTCACTAGTGACTGGCTTCAAGAGGTATATCCTGAAGTTCTAGTGAGAAGCAGTGACTAGTGGAGTTCAACCGAATCTGTTGTGAGATAGTAACTCATTGAAAACAATAGTGGATGTGTTGCTCAATTGCGTGCATTGGTTGAAGTTAGACACAAACACTGTTGGATACCGACTCAGTGGTTTGTTTGTTATATTTCATGATCTGTGTATATATAAATGTAAATATTTGAATTTTATTCTTCTTTGTGACTATTCAAAAAAAGAAGAATGGAAAGACCTTGTTCAAAATTACTACCCTCACACGATTATTGTTATATCACGAGGAGAATAATGAATGGTAACTTTTTGGATCTATTCATTCTTTGATGCTATACATATATTTTCATTGTATAATTATTAAGTAACTAAACTATGTTTATTCATGTTCCTCTTACTGTAAACTTTATTTTGATCTATAGACTATCATTAGATGATGCACCATTTTTGAGTTATGCCCAGTCTACTGATGACAGTCACCCACATTCACAACCACTTTTGCCTTGATCTTGTACAAATGTTATTTTCTATTTTAATGGTAAGATGTGGTCTGTTTGGTTTGCATATAAACCCAGTATGTTTGAAATACATGATTCATATTGTAGAGGCTGAGATCGGTGTTTTGGACGTAACGGGCAGGGCTATGCAAAAAGAAGGACTGATAAGGACTCTAGGCTGCTCGTACGGGTCTTATGCGACATTGTTCTGATGGATAAATATTCACATAATACATTAACAGGGCATGCAAGCCACAAGTTATAACAACTGACGACGGTGTGAAAAACAAGAATCAGGGGCATTAAACCACAAGTTACAATATAAATACTATGAAAGATTCTTATACACTGTCTATTTATATCATAAATATATACATAAATTTATCTTGATTAAATAAAATAAAAGAATATGCTCAAATTTTAATCTGACGGAAAAGGCGCAAATATTTAAAAATCGATATCAGTAAATTCTCTTCGCCTCTATTGAAAATGTAAATTTGTTTTGTTACCCTGAAGAACTTCAGACAAGTTAGATGGACAAAACGTTGGAATTATTTAAATTTCAATCGCTGAGATTATTTCAAATATAATTTTGCACATATAATGACTTTTCTATACTTGGCGCTCAATTTCTTTCAAACTATTCGTTCTAATCTTGACGGATATTCGTATAATTTATTTCTTTTGCTTTGTCTGTTTGTGTCCTTTTCTTCTGCGAATATTTCATCCTCCATTTTAAAATGCAATAACATAAACATTTACTTTATTAATTGAGAGATACAAATGAAGTACATTGTGTACTTCTTTATCTTCTTCTTCGAAATGATTGATTAATAATAATTTTGAGTTGATTTGACCAATGGAATATGATTTATATCATTTAATATAATAAACTACATTCCTTGTGTTAAATAATCGTTTAATAAAGTCTCTCATTCTCTCTATTCTTGAATAGGATGAACACAAATCTTCAGAAATGGGTATCATTTGGATACTAGTTTAGTGATCTATAGTTTGAGTATTCATAGCGAAACTTGAAAGTTTTATGTTTTGTATGTAAACTGCTGGAGTTTCCTGCTTTATGGTTATTGTTGGTTCCATAACTGAGTTCATTAATCTTCACCAACACCTCTTACCAATTATTATTGAATTGCTGTATATTAACACTCAAGTTAGTTTACACATTTACCGACATGATAAAAAAATAATGCAGTTCGACCATATCAAAAAGTAACAGTAGATAGGCATCACAAAATCTAGTAGGTGAGCATAAATACTACATTTCGATGAAAAACTTAATTATTATTGTTCACATGCAATTAGTGTAGGTATCTTCATCGAAGTTTAACTTAACTAAACAAAGATGGATAGTGGCTAGCAGTGAAATCCAGGAAGCGCGTTTTGTTCTACTTGGGATTCGTCAGCTGGATGTGACTGAATCACAGAGTTGATATTCACTCCAAGACTCGAACCCAGTGCTGTTCGCTTCAAACGCTATCACGTTATCCACTTAGCCACTGAGTTCTGATAGTCACCTGCTTGTGCAAATAAAACGAAACGAACGTCTTGGATTCCACTGTTAGCCACTATCCATCTTTACTTAGAATGCTTGTGGCTTAAGGCTATATCAAGGCAATCAGCACAGGGTGCTTATATGCCAATAAGAGACTGATCAATTGCAGTCCTAAATAACAATGGGAAGATACAAGTAAAATAACACCAAGTGACTTTGATTTAATTGTTTCAAATAAATTAAGCATTCAATAAATTACTATACAATTAGTTGAAAGGAAATTATTCGTACAAAAGTACGAATGGTGAAATGTATCTGGTTAGAAAACATACTAAATCTAATATTGATGATCAAAGCATTCATCATTTAATCATTTATGAAATCTTAGATGTAGTGAGTAAGACGATAATTTATGGATGATCTCTGAGTGACGCTAAAGTGAATCAGTGTTAAGAATTAGAATTATGATTAACAGTCGACGGTTAGAGTTAGGAACTAGATTTAGAATTTTCATCACGAATCGAAATCAGCTATAATGCTAAAATGGTATTTTGCTAAATAGATGAATGAATTTCGCGCTAAAATCTAAGACTTATTATCTTTTACCTGATTGATTAGTCCATAAATTATAGTTCCGCCGAATTGTCTTCTACATAATATTAAAATATTTGATCTCTGATTATATACTTGATCTTTTAAAATGTTTCTTGATGAATTCATAGTTCGTCATTAACCTATTATCATGAGTCAATTGAAGCTAGACCACCACTGAAAACTAGGGAGAACTGGACGGCCGTTTCGTCTTATTGTGAGACTCCTCAGCAGTACACATCCACTCATGATATCAACCACTGAAATTACTACAATATCCAGAAAACCCCTTCTGATATAATCATTTTATCGTTGAATATTCAGTTAGTACTTATTTAGAAACTTCTTTTTAAATAACCGATATTTAGTATGAATTGTAAATAGTAACTACTTGACTGATTTTCAAACTGTCCACTTTTTAATTCATAATTGAAATGTCAATTAATCCGCAAATCAATTTTTAGTTACATTATTGTTATCCATTTTCAAAAAAAATTTTTCTTTTTGCAAGGAAAATGCTTTTATGAAATAACTTGTTGAATGTTAAGTACATTTCATGTCTATTTAGAAAAACAAAACAAAACATTCGATGTCTATAATTGAATTTCTTTAATGAATGCCTAGTACGTAAGCATATTTGGAAGTGGTTTTGTGGAGATTGCAATAATTTAAACAACTGAGATCATGAGTCAAGTGAAGCTAAACAATCATGGAAAACCTGGAAGTACTAAACGGCTGTTTCTTCCTATTATGGGACTCCTCAGAAGTGCGCCTCCACGACCCCGCCTCGCGAGATTCCAACCCAGGACCTATCAGTCTCGCGCCAGGCACTTAACCAACTAGACCACTGAGCCGGCATCCAACGGTGTTTGTGTCCAACTTAAACTAATCCACGAAAATGAACGACACGACCACCGTTCTCTTCAGAGAGTTACTACCTCACAACTGACCTGGTTAAACTCCACCAGTCACTGCTTCTCATTAGAACTTCAGGATATATATTCTGAAGCCAGTCACTAGTGAGAATATGTTGATTAGTATCAGAAGGGGTTTTGTGGAAAGTGTAGTAATTTAAACAGTTCAGATCATGAGTCAATTGGAAGTGTAATTCAGTTATTTACTTACTTACTCCTGTTACTTCAAATGGAGCATAGGCCACCGACCAGCATTCTCTAACCCACTCTTTCCTCTGGCCTTCCTTTCCAGTTCTATCTAATTGTTGTTCATTCTTTTCATATCTGCCTCCATTTCTCGGTGTGATGTGTTCTTTGGTCTTCCTCCTCTCCTTTGGCCCTGAGAATTCCATATGAGTGCTTGCCTTGTGATACAGTTGGACTTCTAGCTCTTCTTCCCGACTTCTTCCTCCACTGGAATCTGGTTACTTCTCTCCCACAGTAAGTTGTTGCTGATAGTGTCTGGCAGAGTTTATTCAGTTACTTAAGTGTTTAATATTTAATTAATAACTACGTTAATATATTTAAATATTGCATAACTTCAATGTCTTTCACAACACATTGATTCATGCCTGATATTTCAATAAACTAAAATGATTGACTTCATGTGTTTGTCAAGAGCTCAATCAT